CCGGCCTCCCTCGCCCACCACCGCGCCGCCTCGCTGCCCTCAACGCCGGCGGCCGGCCTCGCCGCCCTCGCCGGCGGCCGGCCTCGCCGGCGTTGATCGAGAGAGAGAGAGAGCAGAGAGAGAGAGCAGAGAGAGAGCAGAGAGAGAGAGAGAGAGCAGAGAGAGAGAGCAGAGAGAGAGAGAGAGAGAGAGCAGAGAGAGAGAGAGAGAATTTTGTGATTTTTTTTAAAAATAATTGTGAACATTTTAAATAATGCATATTTTCAAATCCATGAACATTTTTACAAATTCGCGTACAATTTTTAAAATTGTGAAATTTATTGAAACTTTGTGAACACTGTTTTAATCAGCGAATAAATTTTGGAATTCATTAATATTTTTTTGTTTTGATGAATTTTTTTGTGTCTAATAAAATCAATTTTTTGAAATACACGAATAATTTTTAAATTCACGAATATGTCATGAATCAGTGAAAAAATTAAATACGTGAACTATTCTGAAATCCCTAAACATTTTTTGAATACACAATATGTTTTTATTCCTGTTTTTTCCACAAAATCATCAACATTTTTTGAAAACCTTTTTTTTGCAAAATCACAATGTTTTTTCCAGGCGAGGCGCCAAGGACAACAAGTCCACCCCCCTACGGTGGTGGTGGTGGCGGTGGTGGTGGTGGTGGTGGTGGTGGCGGTTCACCTACACCTCCGTCACGTCAGCCGACGCCGCCCCCCAGTCCACAACGTCCGGCGGGTGATCAGCCGCCGCCCCCCAGTCCTCGTCCGGCGGGTGATCAGACGCCGCCCCCCAATCCACCTCCGGCAAAGAAGCAGAAGCAGTCCTGGATTATTAACCCGGACCCTTATGTACCTAAGATCACAAAGGTACCGGAGCCATCACTGAAGCCTCTCCCCACAAGGCCTTGGGAACGTAGTGCCGAGGAAGTCGACGCGGCCGCGGCTGTTGATTTGGAGAAATGGAAGGCGGACTGCAAGAAGAAAAGAGAGCCCGAGCCCAAGCCAGTATTTTCTGATGAGCAAAAGAAGTGGGCTAAGTCATTTTTGAGCACACCGTCCCAAGCCGCAAAGAATCTGCCTAACGACTATGCACGTGAACTTCGCAGGCAGGCACTCATGTTCAAGGAGAACAAAGAGCGGGAGAAGGCCGAAAGTAAAAAAAGCGGGAAACAAGTTGCCCAGCTCGGGGAACAAAGTAAACAATCGATTGCCCCGCTTATAGTGGAAGCCTTCTGTCCAGATGCCCCCGAGATCATACAAGCTGCGGCAGCACAGGGATTGACTGTAACGAGTGCCAGAGAACAAGCGGCCAACTTAGGTATTACTCTTCGTGAACTGTTAGGCCTTGATGAGGCGCCAGTGAAGGAGGTAGTAATTACATATGTCAAGAATGGGCCTCTCGTCGAGCCTGCGCAGGAAAAGGATCTACCTCCACAAATGAAAGGTCTGCTGAAATGGTACAAGGGTTACATAAAAAATAAAAATGCCAAAGAATATATTTATGCGGAAGTTAGACATGAGCATCACTTCAAACATTACTATGTACAAATTGAACTGAGTGAATTGTTCCAGCTTTTCAATCTGCGCGAGCTCGATAAATCTATCATCAGTTGCTACGTTCTGTAAGTGATTTATTAATTTCTATCCCATCTCGTTCATATTGCCTGCACTATATATATGTCCTAACTATATTGTTGTGTCCGCTATTATACATGCAGAATGAAGATTAAGGAATGCAGAGTAAGGAACATCCATGATGTTGGGTTCATTGACCCACACATCGTTAATGGACATGTGTTGGAGCGTTACCCCGCCGACGTGGAGGCAGACCTGTGGCAGTTTCTTACAAAGCAGGAACTCAAAAGTGATATTCTATTTCCTTACCATTTTGAGTGAGTGTTTCTGTCTTGAGCACATTCTCTTTTGTTTACTCCATGCATGGTATGTGGCCGGCTAATCGATGAGTTATGCATGACGTACTGTGCATGTATCGTGTCCGCAGGTTCCACTGGATTCTGCTAGTAATTAAAGTTAACACCTCAGAATGTCTCGTCCACGACTCTGTGAATATGGATCCAAAGCTTTGGGGCGGCATGAGAAGAATGCTGCAGAAGTAATTATTTTCATTCATTTGCGCTCTATATCGATCGGCCTATTTCGTTCATTTCCTAATATCAAGTAACTAATTAATAACTCTCTTGTTCATTTAATTTTCTTTGCCTCGTAGGGTTTGGAGACGGTTCATAGATACAAAGGTCGGTGAATTCAAAAAAGAGCTAGAATTCAAAATGTTAAAGGCTAAGAATGCTGGGGATATTCAGCCACCGGAGACCAATCTATGTGGATACTATGTCCGTGAGATGATCCGGAGATACACCTCTGAGCGGGTTCCGAGTGATACCAATGCTCAGAGGAATAACCTCCGGTGGATGCTTAGTCCAGAAGCTCGCTTCCGACCACTTCAAGAGGAACTAGCTGGATGGTTCAGCAGGGAAGTCCTCGATCCTAAAGGAGAACACTATTACGAGGACGTAGAACTTTATATGCATTAAATCATGTATGGAAACTTGTTCAAAATTGTATATGGTCATCCGATGATATTGAATATATATTGTATATTCCTCTTGAATTCTTTTTGGTTCTAATTTCAAATTTATTTGAAATTGTACATTCATATGCATGTATGTAGTACCATAGAATATATGAAACTCCTTCAAAATTAAAATAAAGCACAAAAGAAATAAAACAATACAAATTAAACAGAAAACAGGTTTAAGGGGGGGGGGCTAAAACCCTAAACCTGCGGCGGCCTTTAGTCGCGGTTGGCCAGAAGAACCGCGACTAAAGGTCCTCCGCCCCGACGGCCACCTGGCGCCCACGTGGACGGGCCTTTAGTCGCGGTTCTTAAGCAACCGCGACTAAAGGGGGGGGGCCTTTAGTCGCGCCCGTTCGGTCGCGGTTGCGCAACCGCGACTAATGGCAGTTGCGAACCGCGACCAAAGGCCCTTTTTCCACCAGTGGCTGCAAAGCATGTGGCAACTAGCAGCTTGGGTGTGGAAGAGGAGATGGACGTATGGGCGAGATGGCAAATGCCCACACACTAGCCCTTGTGCGTGCGTGGAAAATGGCGTGTGGGTGAACTGCTGAACGCCCACACACCAGCCCCTCCCGTGTGGTGAAACGGCCATGTGGGCGACCGGGTGAACGCCCACACACCAGGCCAGTCCTATATGGCACTAAAAACATGCCAAGATTCGTGCGCACACGAACGGACGCGGATCTACGAGTGTGGGCGAGATGCAAACGCCCACACGTGTGGGCGTTAACATTTGCGTTAAATTAACAATGCTTCCACATTAAACGCATTAACTACGCGACATGGGCGGTCGCTCGCGCGTGCCACGTCGGACTGGGAACAGTATTTGCGTCGAGAGATTTAACTTGCTAGGCGCTCGCGTGGGCTAGCCTTCTCGCAGAGAAAACGCATTGAACAGAGAGATGAGCGCCTTACCGTTTTCTTCTCCTCCCACCCCCTCTCCTTTCCACCTCCGGCTGGAGGCTAGGCCGCTAGGGTTGCCTTCACGGTGCCGCCACCACAGTCATCTCCACCGTCCATGCTCCTCCAGCGCCGGCCACCGGAGAAGGCGCTCTCCATCTGCCACCGCCTCGCCCCAATCAGCCCACCCCAGCTCCTTCGGCACCGGCAACTGGACCGTCGCCACCGGCGGCTTCTCTCGCACTCGTGCCCTCTCCATCTCCCACCCGGAACTCCACCTCCTCCAGCCCCATATCCCCCGATCTTCACGGTCTGGATCTTGGGAGCACGCGAGAGAGAGACGACGTGGGCGTTGCCCGGACGAGACATGGTAGTACTGGCGAGAGACAGAGGAGGGTTGGCTGTGTTTGGCGTCGTTGAAGAATCGGGGGAGGCCGGACAAGGGCGGTAGGCGTTCGGTGCCCGCGGTGGCCAGATGGGTGGCTCCGCCGCTCTCGTGCAACCCGTCCTCCACCGTGCTTACTTCCTCCACGACCACCTCGGGGCCTCCATCAATCACCTGCGCTTCCTCGGCAGGTTCCTCCTCGTCGCGCTTATGCTCTCCCTCCGCGTTCAAACTGTACCCCACCTCGCTGCCCAAATCCGGATATTCCTCGACGAATTCAAGAAGAACCTCCAAGTCCAGTTCAATTATTCTCTCTCTTTTTCCTTCCTTGATTCCCATCCCTATGCAATCAGCTCTCTTTTCATTCTCTGGCTCAAATTAAGAAGATGAAATGTTGCAGGAAGCTGATTACAGGGAATGGGGGCATGTCGTGCAAGAAATCACGAGGTTTCTAAAGGCTGACTTGCTTTTCATGAACCTGAGACCTCTCAGGTACGGCTATGCATTTGATCCTCCCCCGGATACTTCTGGTTTTCTTGACTAATGATGCAATTTGGTATTAACATGATACAATTTTTTCAGGAGCTTTTGTTGTGCTGAGTGTACGAGACAAGTATGTGTCATGAACTAACTTCAGATTTTTGGTTTAGAAGTGTCGAGCATAACTATCCATGTTAGTATATACACAGGCAGCGGCTCTGTGCATATGCGCTCGTCCGTGTTATGTGCTCCCGTAGGGCGGCAGATGCGTGTGGCGTGTGTGCGAAACGTGCGCCGGTCGACGTGCGCCTGTGTTCGTGTGTGTGGCGCTATACTGGCAGAGGAAGCGGGCGGTTGCCGGCAGAGGAGGTTCAGGATTAGTATGATTAGGATTGTTCACTTGATTTGTTTGGTCTGGATTAGTACAGAAATGCACTGATATTTGTTTGATGGTGCAGGAACTTCAAGACAACAATGGGCATCAGGCTTCACGGCTACACATTCATCTTTGATTTTCTCCCAAAAACTGAAATTGTTTGACCCTTAAATTTTAATTCCCTTGAGAAAGTCAGTGTATTCATGGAAAATATGGTCTAACGATGTTGACAAATTTGATTGCAACAGGAATTGGCAAAGTAAGTGCAGTGCTCACAATTGCACATATATTCAGGGCAAAATCTAACTTCAGTCAGAAGAAGATGACCAGGGAGGAGCTATATATCCCTGTTGAAAGTTCAGGTATCTTCCTCTTGTATGTTGGTATTGCTCTTTTTTATTTGCATTTAAGTGTGTTTCTCATGCTATATCCTGGAGAGAAGTGATTGTCAGGTACCTAGGACCACAGGTGTTCACTTCTTTATTGCTAACTGATAAAATCATCCATCGTGAATTTTCCATCTGAGTGGCAACACTAGACAGGAGGAAGGTCTGGTAACCCTAGACCAAACAGTATTGCAAGTGCCAAGTTAGTTTTCACTAACTACAAATTTAAATATAGATGAACCTTGACATTGGCTTTGGTTGCACGCTTATGGCTAATGTCCGTGGCAATATTTGCAAGTATATTCTTATCAAGTGATATGATGCATCTCCCACTTTTTTATTTGCAAGTTAGTTGTCACCCTACTATTAAAAGACGATGAGATCCTCGGCCACGCTGCCGTCTACTCCCCGGTGCGCGCCTTTTGCATCATCCCCCCGCTGCTTATCCAGTCCCAGCTGCCGGAGAGTCCCGCCGCTGGCACAAGCACCTTGCAATCGAGATGTGCTTCTCCGCTGGTGCTGGAGTTATGGACATCTTGCAAGTAAGTGGCGGTCAATCCAATTGCTGTCTTTGTCTGCGCTTGATTTCAGTTGCATTCTTATGGTGGCCTGAAGAAGCATTGTTTTTTGATCTACTTTATTATGGCATGAAGATCATCTATGTGATATGAGATCAAATGTTATCTGCAATGCTACACTTCATAAGCATGGGATCTGGCGATCCTTCCAGGTAGATGAATTAAATCCAAGCCTATTAGAATGGTTTCAACTTCCTGAAGTTTATAATGTGTTCTGTTAGACAAATAGTTTTAATTTAGTTAGTTCAAGAGCACTTGGCAATTGAACCGGTTATATTTGAGCCTAAATAAATATTTGAGCCTGAGGGCGAACAATCACATATGCACTTCATATACCAAGTGGGTTGCTTCTATTCTGCTCCATCTCGAGCTTTAATTTTGTTTGAGCATATGCCAGTCAGATGTTTCCTAGAGATGCTTCATCAATGTTCTTTTCAATCAAAAAACTTGTTTGACGATATTGTAAAAAGTTGCATATAGGAGATATAATATAACAAAGACGCCATTGAGATTTGCAAGGTTGAGAGTACAATTCAAATAATGTGTTACTCGCTATTTGTTATCTTGCTGTCCAGGGTTACGTACAGGATAGTGCGCATGGTGTTGGGTTGCTCTTGGGCATATATCCTTGTAACTACTGGCTATTTGTTACCTTGCTTTACAGGCTTACTTGCAGGTTAGTGCATATGGCATTGGGTTGGCGTTGGTGCAGGTTCAGGTTCATTCACAACACATTCAGGAGATCAATGGAGACCATCTCTAGGTATTTCAAGCAGGTGCTTTTTGCTGTTGGGGAGCTTAGAGGAGAGATGATAAAGAGACCATCTGGGCAGACTCCACCCAAGATTCGCGGAAGCCCAAGATGGTATCCATACTCCAAGGTGAGCATTGACAATATAACACTTTTCATGGCTTGATATGCCTGTATTGTTCAAGTTGAGCACTAACACATGCTTGTGATGCCATTCCAGGATTGCATTGGAGCAATAGATGGTACTCATGTCATTGCCAGAGTTCCTAGGTAACAGTTTGCAGCATACAGGGGGAGGAAGGATTACACAAGACAGAATGTGCTTGTTGCTGTTGATTTTGAACTGAAGTTCACATATGTGCTGGCTGGCTGAGAGGGGTCAGCGCATGATGATAATATTCTTACTGATAGCATGAGTCGGCCTAATGGGATCAACATCCCCGACGGCAAGTTCTACCTTGGAGATGCTGGCTATGCATGCCAGACGGGCATTCTTTCACCCTTTAGGAAAACTAGGTACCATCTCAACGAGTTCTCTGGTAGGAACTATCCTAGGACTGCGCAGGAGCTATTTAATCTCAGACACTCCAGCCATAGAGTAATTGTTGAGGGGGCATTTGGAGCTCTGAAGAATAGTTTTAAGATCCTGGATCAGAAGTCATTCCACCCATACTCCACTCAGGTTAAGCTTGTTCTTGCATGTTGCATTCTTCATAACTGGATACTTCAGTGGGGCTTTGATGAACACATGCCTGAGGAGGAAGAGGTCAAGCCTGACGATGTTGTTAGTTCCGGCCATGGTGTGGAGGCATTTGACAATGACGCTTGGAAGAACGAAATGTTGGACTGGGCAGAGGCAATGTGGCTTAACAGAGGTGAGTGCAGGATTTGAACAGGGAGGAAGAAGAAGCAGCAGAAGCAGAAGAAGTGGAAGATGAAGAGGAAGATCTGGTAGCCGCAACACCGATGAAGTATCCCCTATTTAGCCAATGGCTCTTAATAATTTGAACTGTCATTTGATAGTAGTTTGGATGAACTATCATTTGTTTAACTAGCTGGCACTACATGTTCAGATTGTGTGTGGTAAGCTCACCACTAGTTAGAAGTGGTGACAACACCTTATGCAGGTTAAAACCAAACACCATGTCATATGTGCGCCTAATGCAATGCGGGCAACCAAAAGCCGGTCAAAAATGGTTGTCTCATGCAACTACATGCAGACAACCAAACTATGTGCATCCGGGGTCTTTTTGCCTGCATCTCCTCAAACCGGCTCACTAGAGCCAGGCTCGCCGGGCCAGACTCGATTGGCAATGTAACCAAACACGCCCCAAGTTTCCTTCACACTTTATTTCCCACGATATTCCTCACGATATGTCAGACAGAGAGGTGGCTGCTGGAACATATTTGTTTGTGGATTGAGCCAGGAATGTGAAGCACTGAAATATTCATCTACCACATCCGGTATCAAGACAGCTCTGACAAATTTTTGATTTCCATTCTTCTTTTGCAGGGGCTCTAGCCATAGCAAGTGTTTCGCTCTACTCGAAGACTTTAGGTGGGTGTGTTGTTTTCAGTGGTTTGGTTTCCCTAAGAAAATCGCTTGCTGAGAGGGTGCCACTTGAAGCCAGAAAGGTAACAACAGCCCACGCTACAACCATGACTAAACTAAACATTTACCTGAATCTTCTTCCAAATGCGTTGTCTCTGAATTCTTGGAAATTACCCGCAGACTCCGGTTTTTTGGTTCCATGGGATGGCAGACCGCAGATGGGGTGGTACTGTTTGACGCTGGGCACGCAGGATGCACATTTCTCCAAGAGCTTAGCATGGCCTGCGAATTCAAGGTGATACACAAACAGATGAATTTCAAGATTGGAGCTTCCCTTTTTTACCTTGTCTGACCATATTGTTCTTCCTTGCATTTTGGCACTGAATATGTATGTCATCAGACTTATGCTACTCTTGGGCACTCATTGGTGGATGACGAGCTCCAGTTTTTCTTTTCGCGGGGGAGCTCCATTATTTTCGACAGTGGATATTCGATCATCCACGGATCTCTCAAGGAAATGAAGCGGCAACACTATTGACATCATTTTGACCATATAGATTTTAACCAGCTACTTAAATTCATGGGTACCATTTCTAGGGCTGCTACATCAACATGAGTAATAACACGAATATGAGTTTCTCTAGCCACATGAATTTTGCTTGCCCAAAAAAGTTTGAAACTTTTCCAGCATGGTCATCATGATGGTGTTCATTTTAGAGAAAGTTTTCAGTTTTTTCTATACACTTTTTTTGGGGTCGAAATTTGATTAAAAATTTCCTGAATATTTATTTTGCTTGTACTTTTTAATATATTTGACAAAGAAGTTGTTGACACCAGATTTTGGCACGGTGAAAAACTTAATTAAGATGGCCTCAAATGAAGAAGTGATCTACATGAAAAAGTTTCGTATAGTCAGCATGAACATCTTGGAAATTTGGGCCATTGCCGTCCGATTTCATCTCGAAGGCTGAAACTATGTTCAAAGTACTAAGATCTTATATTCAGAGTACAGTTTGGCCGATTAAGCCCCCAAGACGTCCTCATATGAGAAAATATTCTGCACGGATTGTGTTCGTCTCGTCGAAACGATTGATTTTGATATGAAAGTCATCTCAATCCGAGATATTATGCAAAAAGTTAGAGCCATTCGAGTGCAGCCATACCACTAGGCCCAATCAGACATATGTCTGATAGGTAGCAGACATATGTCTGATAGGTAGCGCCACCAATTGTTTATAGATAGCGCCACCATTTGTCATTTCATTTGTTTATCTTGCGCGAGCGTTTCGGCCCACAAGACGGTCTCGAATCAAATAATGTTCTAACACGAAAGTTGTTCGTCTCGTCGAAACGGCAAAATTTGGTTTTAGCTTTTCTTTATCCGAGGTCGTTTGTGGCCTATGGGACCTAAAAACCAAACTGTTGTCCCAGACTTACCTAAATCCAAGTTCCATTACTTTTGGAAAGATTTTGACTTGATTTGAAGTCCTTTTCTTGTATGGGAAGTCCAGCCGCCTCATAAATATATGAGAGGTGACGGTCGATTGAACAACACAGAATCGAACAAACACATCTACTACATTTTCGTGTTCATCTATCCCCTATCCTTGTATCTTTCTTCTCGTTCTTCGTCGTTCTTCAACAATGGAGGGCTGCGAATCCACGAGGCTCTAGGAGCGGTCAAGTCGACCTAGGACCCATAGCTGTCGCGCGCCCTGACGGGGTCTATCCGGACGTGTGGGGTTTGGGATCTACAAAAGCACCCGCTGGATTGCTTGCGTACCACGATTCCTATCGGGTCTCCTTCGACGTGAGTTACGGTGCATCATCCCCGACGTCGAGGGTTCACGGTGATGTGTTCGTGTGCGAACAGAAGTATTAATTTTTTTGACAGAATGGTCATCATGGTAGTGTTCATTTTACTGAACTTTTTAAATTTAAGTTTGGTCAACTGATCAAATAGTGATGTGTGGCAGCAGATGTGGATGCTGACTAGGCAGGTCAGCTAGTGAAAACCAGTCAATCAGATCAGAAACCAGTTTGAGGGGAGGCAGCGTTGAAATTTGTCCGGTTTTGAAAGTTGAGGGTTATAACTTAGATGGTTTTAAAGTCCATGGTTGTTTCTTAGATATTCATGTCATAAAGGGTTGAAATATGTAATTCTCTCGAGAATAGCCACCAACTAAGTTTTACAAGGAGCAACTCATCTCTGTGAGCGTTGGTCTACTCAGTCACAATAATCAATAAAACACATGCCAAACAAATGGCTGGTTTTCTCAGTCATGAGATATTGCCATATGAGCGATGCTACACACATGACACCACTTGCATCGTTTATGCACGACGAGTCAGCTGGGCCTTTCATTATGTCTGATGCATGGATTAGCACCCTTCAATCAGTTGTCGTGCAGCGAATCAACCTGTGGTTGAGTTGGTTAGGTGGACAGTGGTATCCTCAACCCACCAGGGTTCAAATCCTGGTGCTCGCATTATTCCTGGATTTATTTCAGGATTTCCGGCGATGCGCTTTCAGTGGGAGGAAACGTTCCCGTCGACGACGAGGCGTCTACGGTGACTTCGTAAATCTCAAGATGATATGCCGGCTCAGTCTTTCGGAGGTGCTCATAGGGGTAGGGTGTGCATGTGTGCGTTCATAGGGATGAGTGTATGCGCGTGTATATGAGCGCTTGTGTCTGTACTGATGCTCAAAAAAAAATCAGTTGTCGTGCAAGGACCGGCTGGCGAACTGTCGTGCGTAAAGTAGTTTCGTTGCCATATTGGGCGCGCGCAGGTGTTCTGCGCCTCTTCACGATTGCATTTGCACAATAAAGCGCACATCATTCACACGATTTTATCTTTGGTTGCATCCTATGTTTGATTTTTATTCAACCGCCATATTTGGCATTTCACATTGATGTAACGGTTCACTGAAAAAAACATTGATTGTGAACACTGATTTGCAAACAGACTCTACTAAGGACATCTTCAACGTTGAACCTCAAACCGCTCGCATATGTCTAGACCACGAGGTCCGGACGGACAAGGTCCTGCATTGGTCCGCGGATCGGTCTGGACGCACTTTCTCCTGCAAAGCGCAGACAACCGGGGAGGGGGGGGCTTTACAGGCGTTCGGACAACACCCACACCCACTTCTGACCACCCTGGCCCACCCAAACGCCCTCCTCCCTTGCCTGCGCACATTCCCGCTCGGCGCTAGCTTCCCGCATTTATGCCGCTGTAGAGCGTCCGCTCCACATCCAACTCGGTCCGGACACGACCTCTCACTGTCTCCACCATTGAAGCAGTGCGCCGGCCGAGGGCGCCGTCCACTGCACACCCGGCTGAACATGTCTGCTCGCCGCATTCCAACATCTTCATTATACCTGCGTGTGTGCCGAGAAACCTACTTCGGCCACATGACCGTTCACGGGCGGGTCGGCATTAACCATAACGTGGGGTAAGCACCTACAGTCGGTCATCTATTTAAAGTAGGCCTGACGCCAGGCAAGAATCGTACCATGCTGTCGCTCCCCATCTCCTCCTTCCACTATTTTCCCACCCTTCCAATGGCATCCCATGATCAGGAACATCAGTTCTCCGGCATAAAAGCCTTATGGATGGCCCACCGAGCCCGCCAGATAATAGCCAGGCAACTCGCTACTCCACCTCCCTCGCCTAGCCCGACGGAGCAAGTTGCCGCTCCAAGCCGGCACGTGGTTCAG